ATTTAGTGCAGAACACCATTTAGTCCACTAACCAAGTCAACATTTTATACCACAGTGAGAAGATTCAGCTGGCACATTGAGTCTATAATCTCTGGTTGGTATACCTATATTGATACAGTTTGTCTGATCTATGTTTCTTTTTCCTTCGTCTATCCTTATTAGAACCCATTCTTACATATATCCTTCAGCTTCCAGCTTATATATATATATATATATATATATATATATATATATGTATATTAGCAAAATCATGGATCTATTTGATATGGAAACATAACTCTTTCCATGTCAGATTCTGTTTGCTTCCCTAGGACAACCTGGGATCTAACTCTTGTCATAGGGGTAGTGTCTGTGAGGTGCAGTTGTGGCCAGGGTCTCCGAACAAACCAGGGCTTGTTCCATCACAGAGGGGAGAAAGAACCGTTTCTGTGGGTGAAGAGATATTCACTGGTCTTTAGGGATGCAGAGTGGTCAGGTTCAACAGAATCCATCAAAATGTTCCCCATCCGGATTCCACTTTCTGTTGCAAAATACTCCAGCTTTGATGTAAGAGACGTGGAAAGGCTTTGCATTCAGTTTTTGTTGTGATATAGCAAATTATGGACATCAAACTCCATGTCTGATTTCTGGCTATGTTGGTTACGTGACGGCCAGAGATCATGATAGATGTTTCCCAACCTTCTAACCATGTGTTGGACTAACAATTGAAAACCCAGAGCTTGTCTTTTATTTTGTTTAATTTAAAAATTGTCCAATATAATGAGAAACAGCCAGAGTTCTGTATTCTTTTTACTCTCCGGGATGCTCTATCACAATGGTCATTTCATTTCAAAACCTTCCCTTCAGTAGGCACTTTATTTCAAGTGACTGAAGGGGATCCTATGAGTGGCTCTGTGTCATGTGCTACACATTTTCCATTTTTGAATGACATTGGGATCATCCTTGTTTCACAAAACTAGTCTTCCAGTCACTCCCAAATTCCCATCTCTCAAGTACAACTACTTCTAGTCCTACTGTATGAGTCAGAACTCAATGTAAAAACAGGGTCTACTGTCAAACCCAAAATCTGACAGAGATACAAAAAAAGAAAAGAAAACAAAACTTCAGGCCAATACCCTTGATGAATATTGATACAAAAATCCTCAACAAAATACTGGCAAAATGAATCTAGCAACACATCAAAAAGCTTATCCACCACAATCAAGTAGGCTTCATCCCTGGGATGCAAGGTTGGTTCAACATACAAATCAATCAACAAACAAACAAATCAATAGATGTGATTCATTACATAAACAGAACTAAAGACAAAAACAAGAAGATTATGAAGAAAAGGCCTGTGATAAAATTTAACATCCCTTCACGTTAAAAACTCTCAATAAACTAGGCATTGAAGGAACATACCGTAAAATGATAAGAGTCATATACGACAAACCCACAACCAATATATACTGAATGGGCAAAAACTGGAAGCATTCCCCTTGAAATCTGGCACAGGACAAGGGTGCCCTCTGTCACCACTCGATTCAACCTAGTAATGGAAGTTATGGACAATCAGGCAATTGAAAGAAATAAAGGACATTCAAATAGGAAGAGAGGAAGTCAAACTTTCCCTGTTTGTAGATGACATGATCCTATGTCTAGAAAACCCCACTGTCTCAGACCAAAAGCTTCTTAAGCTAATAAGCAACTTCAGCAAAGTCTCAGGATGTAAAGTCAATGTGTAAAAATTGCTAGCACTCCTATACACCAACAACAGTCAAGCCAAGAACCAACTCAGGAACCAACTCATTCACAATTGCCATGAAAAGAATAAAATACCTAGGAATACAGCTAACTAGGGAGATGAAAGATCTCTAAAAGGGGAAGTACAAATGACTGCTCAAAGTAATCAGAGATGATACAAACAAATGGAGAAACATTCCATGCTCATAGACAGGAAAAATCAATATCATTAAAGTGGCCATACTACCCACAGCAATTTATAGATTCAATGCTATTCACATTAAATTGCCACTGACATTCTTCACAGAACTAGAAAAAACTATTTCAAAATTCATACGGAATCAAAAAAGAGTCAAAATAACCAAGGCAATCTTGAGCAAAAAGAACAAAGCTGGAGGCATTATGCTATTTAACTTCAAACTATACTACAGGGTCACAGTAATCAAAACAGCATGGTACTGGTACAAGAACAGACACATAGACCAGTAAAACAGAATAGAGAATGCAGAAATAAGGTCACACACCTACAGCTAGCTGTTCTTTGAGAAACCTGACAAAAACAAGCAAAGGGGAATGGATTCCCTATTCATAAATGGTGGTACGATAACTGGCTAGCCATATGTAGAAGATTGAAACTGGACCCCTTCCTTATGCCATAAACAAAAATTAACTAATGATGGATTAAAGAAGTAAGTGTAAAACCCCAAAGTATAAAAACCTTAAAAGACAACCTAAGCAATACCATTCAGGAGAGAGGCATGGGCAAAGATTTCATGACAAAGATATCAAAATCAATTGCAATAAAAGCAAAAATTGACCAATGGTATCTAATTAAACTAAAGAGCTTCTGCACAGCAAAAGAAACTGTCAACAGAATAGACAGACAACCTACAGAATGGGAGAAAATTTTGCCAGCTATGCATCCAACAAAGATCTGATGTTCAGCTCTATAAGGAACTTAAATGAATTTACATGAAAAAAAAAATCCCATTAAAAAGTGGGCAAAGGACATGAAAAGACACTTCTCAAAAGAAGACATACATGTGTCCAACAATCATATGAGAAAAAGCTTAGCATCACTGATCATTAGAGAAACACAAATCAAAACCACAATGAGATATTATCTCACACCAGTCAGAATGGCTGTTATTAAAAAGTCAAAAAGTAACAGATGCTGCCAAGGTTGTGGAGAAAAAGGAATGTTTATACACTGTTGGTGGGTGTGTAAATTAGTTCAACCATTGTGGAAGACAGTGTGGTGATTCCTCAAAGACCAAAGACAGAAATACCATTTGACCCAGCAATCCCATTACTGGGTAGATATCTAAAGGAATATAAATCGTTCTGTTACCAAGACACATGCATGGATATGTTCACTGCAGCACTATTCATAATAGCAAAGACAGAATCAACCTAAATGTCCATCAGTGGTAGACTGGATAAATGTGGTACATATACACCATGGAATACTATGCAGCCATAAAAAGAACAAGATCATGTCCTTTGCAGGGACATGGATGGAGCTGGAGGCCATTAATCTTAGCAAACTAATGCAGGAGCACAAAACCAAACATTGCATGTTCTCACTTGTAAGTGGGAACTAATTTATGAGAACACATGGACACTTAGAGGGGAACAACACAAACCGGGGCCTTTCAGAAGGTGGAGGGTGGGAAGAGGGAGAGGATCAGGAAGAATAACTAATGAGTATTACACTTAATACCTGAGTGATGTTCGTGACCAGCCCGGCCAACATGGTGAAACCCTGTCTCTACTAAAAATACAAAAATTAGCTGGGCATGGTGGTGGGTGCCTGTAATCCCAGTTACTCGTGAGGCTGAGACAGGAGAATTACTTGAACCCGGGAGGTGGAGGTTGCAGTGAGCCCAGATCACGCCACTGCACTCCAGCCTGGGTGACAGAGTATGACTCCATCTATAAATACATAAATAAATAAATAAATAAATAAATAAAATAAACCTGGATAATGAAATAATCTGTTCAAAAAACCCCCATGACACACATTTACCTATGTAACAAACCTGTACATGTACCCCTGAACTTAAATAGAAGTATAAAAAGGCAGGGTGCAGTGGCTCATGCCTGTAATTCCAGCACTTTGGGAGGCTGAGGCGGGTGGATCATCTGAGGTCAGGAGTTCGAGACTGGCCTGGCCAACATGGTGAAACCCTGTCTCTACTAAATATACAAAAATTAGCTGGGCATGGTGGCACGTGCCTGTAATCCCAGCTACTGGGGGTGCTGAGGTAGGAGAATTGCTTGAACCTGGGAGATGGAGGTTGCAGTGAGCTGAGATTGTGCCATTGCACTCCAGCCTGGGCAACAGAGTGAGGCTCCATCTCAAAAAAAAAAAAAAAAAAAAAAAAAAGTATAAAAAAAGAATATTTAAAAAAGAGAAAACATAAAAGACAAAAAACACAGAAAATTGTAGGCTTCCATTAAGGAATACTGGAAGGATAGATTGTAGTTGCGCCACCAGAAATGACTTCTTCAATCAAGATCCACAGGGGACCTGCTCTACTAGACGGCTGCTGGGCTTGATAGTGCCTATGACGCAGGATGAGGATTTCAAGGCTGATGCCACTGCTGCCTCTGACAGAACTTCCTGTAAAAACAAAAGAAGCAAAGAAAAAGACATTCAGTGATTGAAGTCGAAAATCTTCAAATTTCCATGTTCTTTGTAGAAAAACATCAAAAAAAGACAAGAAAATGGTTTTGGCGTCGCTTTCACCTTCCAGACCTCACTCAAATGCATTTAATCTGAGGAATCTGATTTGTATCAAGGACCCTAGTGCAATAGATAAACATTGTTTAGTTTCCCCAGATCTCAGTTAGAGATAGGGTGGAATCGAGGTTGAACAAACTAGTCGACAATATTTAACAGAGCCCAACAGTGAGAACTGCCACATTTAGATCAGGAACAAGCAAACCCATGGACAGATCTGTTGTTAATGAGAGTTATAAGCAGTACATATTTGGCTTAATTCTCATAGTGTGTATTTATAAATCATACCTCATAAAACTCATCAAGTGGATGATTCTGATTCCCCCAGAATGAAGTTTATGATACTTACTGTCCCCTTTTTTAATATTCTTAAATCATGAAAATAAATGGCAGCTGGTTCATGTCCAAAGTGATTTTGAGATTGAGTTGTACACATTATGGTAATGCATTTTTCTGTTCTAATAAAGCCTTATTATATTATCATCAATTAATCAATAATTGTATATGACTCATTAATATATTTGTATTTTAGATATAGCAAGACCTAGCTGATTTTTTTAACAGTATGGTGTGGAAGATCCAGTTCACCCCGAGTAAGAAAGCATCATTTCTTCTCTTTGAGAAAACTGGGCCAAATGGAGGATGCTGGTCACATGATCTACTGATGCCTGCTAAGCAACAGCATGGCTGATTGGACAGATGTGTTAATATAGATTCTGGTGGAAGCATAGCTCCTTCCCTTTTTTTGTATTTTGTTGTTTTTATCAGTAACTGTATTTTTACTGAAGTAGAAGTTCATAAGGAAAAAAATGAAAAATATCACTGTAAGCTAATTGGCTTTGAAGCTTTGGGGGATTCATTTTATTATGGAAGATCAACTGGAAGATAAATGCACATACACAGCATGAAAAATATCGACCCCACAGAAACCACAGGAGAAAGCTCAATTGGCTGGCAATGCTATCTGATTCAAAGGTATATATACATAAACTAACTTTCATTGTGTTTGTTTTATTTATGCTTGTTTATCTCTTCCAAGCAAGGACTTACTCATTACTTGAAAAAGAAGTCAATAAAAGGGGAAAAGGCTTAGATAAGAGAAGAAGCTGTTTTTAAAAAACACCTTTCTGATATCTTATTTAGAGGTTTTCATTGTGTGGTAAATTATTTTGTTAAATTTTACATTTTAACTTATGCTTGCAAGTTTTTTATTATTTGATACATTAGTCCCTTTAATTCTTGCCTAAAAATATTTATTCCTCAAGCATTAATGAGAGAAGAATCTCTTCCATCTAGGTAATAAGGAAAATAAAGTGGCTACATATTAGAGTCGAGTTTTCAACTATTGTCTGGCCTTTTGTGTAAGAATTAGTTGGCACTTAAAAACACCTTTTCAAGGTGAAGCCCTCTAACTGCTTTTGTAAGCGTATGTGGGGTCATGAATATCAATGGCTTCACAGGGAAAATACATCTTCACATCTGATGAGTATCTAGAAGATTCGCTCCTTTCCCAAATCTCTCTGAACAATATACATTAATCTTCAGAAGTGATATGATAACCTTAATAGAATATGGAGCAACGTTTTACACGTTATTTCACATATTGTCTGATTTATTGAAAATGGGTACTTCCAATGATATCACAGAACTAACAACCATCTGACCCCAACTACATAACAGAATATGACAGATAAAAAATATTGTTACAATGAACCAGAAGAGGTATCTGGTTTTTGTTGCAGTAGAATTTAGATCTAAGGAGTACATAACTATAATTTGCATTTCTGGGACAAAAGAGCTTGAGAACCAAAAGAGCTAAACATCATAGTTTGCTTTTGATATTAGTAATGGAGAAAAATGCTTCAGCAAAGTTAGTGCGATGATTTAATAAGACTCACAAATATCCCAAAGATCTACTCATAAGCTTCTAATATGTGTAAAGAGTATAGAAGAGCAGGAGAAAGAAATCACTGGCAATAACTGATCATAGAGAGGTTCCAATATTTCCAGCGACAGCCCTGTAATGTTCTTCCTCATTCAGATAGGATGTAGTTCATCTTTGGTTATCAATCACTAAGATTGGTCTGAGGTATCTTAGTGTTGGCAGAGCCCAAGCACAGGTTTACAGGGGGACTTATATACCTCAGACCACATAGGGGAAGCCAGGGTGTATGACAAGTTAAAGCAGGCATAAGCTATCAATCTGTGCTCTTTTCCAAACCCTATATAAACACATAACCAAGCCTTCATCTCTGTTGCTTCTGTATTCTTACTTCTCTTGTTTTGATTCCTAATGTTTGTGCTTCTGGATTCCGGATTCCTTATCTGACTTCTATTCTCAAACTCATTTACACCTTTGACTCTTTTTTTCTCAACCACCCTGGCTATTATAATGATTTGGTACAGAAAATAAGAAAATGAAAGATATAAAACTTTATCTACATCTTTTCTGTCTGTGTTTTAGTCCATTTGTGCTGCTATAACAAAATACCTGAGATTGGGTAATTTGGCTCATGATTCTGGAGACTGGAAGTCCAAGACTGAGGGACTGGCTTCTGGCAAGGACCTTCTTGCTGTGTCATGTCATGGCAGATGGCAGAAAGGTAAGAGAGGGCAAGAAAGCAAGAGGGGGCCATATTCTTTCTTTTATAAAGGCACCGATTCCACCTGTGAGAGTGGATGCCTCATGGCCTAATCACTTCTTGAAGGTCGTGCCTCTTAAAACTCTTGAAATAGCAATTGAATTTTAACATGAGTTTTGGAGAGGACAAACATTGAAACCATAGCAACCTGCAAGATGTTTATGTTATATTTGGTGGCTTGTTTGGAAGTTAAAGTTCATAGGATGGAGATCTGGGAGTAAGGAATTTAAACGAGTTCCTTGGGAAGGAGACAAGAGAATAATTGCTTTAAATGTCATATAGATGTGGAGTATTCACTTTAAATTCATTAATTATATATAGAAACCAGGTTAAGGGTTAGTGACAGTCACTGTAAAGATTCTATTTGCATTTATATGTTCATATTCACAACTTTTGGAGAAAGCATGAAAGATCTTAGGGTAATATTAGATCTCTTAGACTTAAATATAGACAGCCTGTGCAGACATTTGCCACATAATATGTGCAAATACATTTTACTGTAATGTCATTGTGTTTGTCTGGATTAGAACAGGATTTTCCTGTTACGATAGTGGCCCTCACACTTGGCTGTAGTGTGGGTGACTGATTCCCCCCCGCTTGCCTTCCTTACAAAGGCTGATTTGACTGAATCTCTTGTCCTAGGCTTCCTTTTTGAAGTTGCCAGAATGAACCTCATTGGCTTTTTCAGCATGTTTTATGTCCTGATGAAGTTCAATATCTCTCAAGGATATTCTATAGAAATCAACTTCTGTAAGAAAGACTTTATCAGTGTAATCAGGACACATATAACAAATGTTGGCCAGGGACTGTGGCTTACACCTGTAATCCCAGAACTTTGGGAGGCCATGACAGGAGGATCACTTGAGGCCAGGAGCTTAAGCATGGATAGCAGAGTGAGACCTTGTCTCTGCAAAAAATTTAAAAATTAGCTGCATACAGCAGCATGCACCCGTAGTCCCAGATACTCAGGAGGCTGAGGTGGGAGGATTGCTTGAGCTCAGGGTTTAAGGCTGCAGTGAGCTACAATTGCACCACTGCACTCCAGCCTAGGCTACAGAGCAAGAGATCCTGTCTCCAATAAATAAATAAATAATAAACAAATAATAATAAAAATAACATTTATTAGGTACTTACCTTGTGCCAAGTTCTGTACGAAACAATGTACATGTATTGACTCATATAATCCTGAATAATGTTATGAGGCAAAAACTGTTATAATTCCCATTTTATAGATGTGGAAACTGAAACACAGGAAGGTTTAGTAATTTGCCCAAGTGCACACAGTAGGAAAAAGCGGAACTGGTATTTCAATAGATACATTAGTGAGAAAAGTCCCAGAGTTAACATAAAGTGAATCACAACAAAGGAAGAAAAGCTGTAATAATAATTATCAAAAAGCTTCTTGTTTAAACCGTTGTTTTCATACTTGTCCATAGACAGTGCATTTTGAGTAACACCCATTACTACAGTGTACACTTTGGGAAACGCTTCATTAATTTAGTTAGATTCTCCATGATTGTACTTCCAGACCTCAGTTCCAAAGTTCCAGAGTCCTTTAGGAGCCTTGAGTAAACAGGTCTGAAATTTTCCAGGGAGGAGTTTTAAGATATTCCATCACATTTACTTTAGAAATCCACAAAGAGATGGGAATAGGCTAATGATTTCTCATTTAATTCCCACTGTTACTGAGGGCGTGTTCTGCAAACGTAGGAATTTTTGTTGGTTTCATTCTATGTTATAGCTGTGACAGTTAGAATCATGCCTAGAACACAGTGGGTGCTCAAAAGATATTAGATAAACAACTGCATTAAATAGCCATCTCAGATCATAACCTGATTATATACCAGATTTGCTCTGAACCCTGAAGTTTAGAAGAGAATGGCGAGGGGGAATGGAAACGGATTTCAAAGGTCTGTCCTCTGCATTCCCCATCCCACTTGTTCTCACTGCTATTCTTACTCCACAACTCTCAAGAAAATTAAGATTCTTGTCCCAGTGGATTAGAAATGTTTGGTATCTAGTTTCCTATAAGGACAGGGAAAATATTTTCATTCTTGAATTCAGTTAACGACACTTTTCGAAGGCTACTATGTGGTAGCCATTGGACATTTGGTAATGAACAAAATACCATATAAATAAGCACTTGTGTAATAATTACTATGGACCTTTTATAAGTGATGCGTGTATATTTATTTATATTCTCATATACATATTATATATACACAGTATGTGAAAACATATGTGATAGGCACCATGACGTGCTACACAGTATCATTGATAAAAGTTACTAAAGGTATTTTTTCCAAAGCTATACACGATGTGTATATATGTCATCTATAAAAATGTATATATATAAACAATATGTATATATACTCATTGAACCATCATCACACTTTACATATGAGAAAAATAGGGCCACAAAGTTAGCAGAGGGCCATTATGAGCCTAATTAGCCATTGTTTACAAGCCAAGTTTTCACAGTAAGCTATGGTCCCCACTTCAACTTTAGTGGAAGTGAGAGGCATCTACCCACACCATTGCCTACCAAACCCCACAAATATGACAGGTGCTGTGACAGAGCAGCAGAGGGTGTTATGAGGGACGGCGGTGGAGGGGAAGTCAGAATGGGACTCTGATGAAATGACATTTAAGCTGAGACCTGAAAGGAGGCGAGTGGTTGGCCAGGAGAGGGCGGGGAAGGCATTCTAGATACAGGAAACTGTGCAAGGGCTGAGGCAGAGCAGGTGCGGCCTCGTACTTTGGAAGGAACTGGAAGAAGAGCATCGCAGTGTGAGCTTAGGAGTTGGGTGTAGGGCAGGAAAAAGGAACGCAGGACACAGCAAGAAGACGCTGGAGAGTGAGGTGGGGGGGCGTACATCACATCCATAGTGTAAACCATGCAAAATTTTACACACTGTTTTAATTTCAGTGGGAAGTCACTGTAAGATTTTAGCAAGGATGTGGCATTACCCTATTTATGTTTTGGAAATGTTAGTCTGCTTTTTGCACTTCCATAGCAATAGTCATGATAATACATAGCTCACTTATGAAAGAATATTTATTCCTTTTAAAAAATGTTGTCTTGATTAATTCAACTAACTCATTTGTACCACAGATACCATGTGGACAACAGAAACCATATTTACATTTAAAAGTATTTAAAATTAAAATATGGTTTACTGTAAATAAATATAATATGTAAAAGGAGCAAATTTAGACACTGTGTTACTAGGAAGAAAAGGCAAAGACATGTGACAGGGATACTAAGTGCTGCACAGTGTCGTTGATTGAAGTTACCAAAAGGAACCTTTCTAGAGCTACACAACGCTCATTGGCTATGTAAATGTTAAAAGACACATATTTAGATATTTAGGACAATATTTACTATGAGGACTACTAATGCAGTGAAATGCAGAGGCAAACTGTTGTTAATACATAATTCTATGATAGAATTAACAAACTGGTTACTATTTCATCTGTATTTAAAATATTATGAATTAAAAGGCAAAAAAAGCACCAGTGTTTTAATAAAATTTAGTCAAAAATGAGGCTTACGTCGTCCTGTATAATGAAGAGCTAAGACTAATAGGTTTGCATTGATAATGCATGTGCTTTGCAAAACTACCACCTAGAAAAAAGAACTTAGCTACTTTTAGGGTGCCCAACATTTGTATCTCACATAAACAAGCTGTCGTTTGGAATCAGAAGTCAAATCCATGGCCTATAGCACCGGCTAAAAGCAGACACCGTTGCTCTAACAGAGTGCGTTATTTCTCTTCCTGGGCTGGTTGGAGATTGGCAGGAACTCGGCTGGAAACATCCAGAGCGGGCTCACGGTCCAGCAGCGCTCCCAGGAGGGCAATAGCAGAATAGCAGCCTGTTAGGCTGCGGGAGGAAGACGAGGCACCGGTTACTGATAGCATATGTGTGAGGGGGGTCTGAAGGCGAGGAAAGACGGAAGAAAGCATGGAGGTGACAGGGTAGACAGCAAGAGAAATAGCATAATGCAGAGCCGGTTAATGACTCTGGCAGCTTTCCACGGCTGAGAATGTTACAATTGGCAAGGGAGGATGGCACATGTGAATTATCTCTTAGTAAGAGGCAAATCCTTGACTTGAAAGATCTGAATGTTCTTGCTTATCAGGACACACTGAAATAGTTAGATTCTGAGATTAGAATGCACTAATGCTAGTTTTCTAAACGTTATGTTATTGAATCTGTTGCCTGTTAAATTTGAGGATACAAATGAAAAAAATCTATTCGATAGCTCTAAAGACTAATATTTTATGAAACACATACCTCTATGCCAGGCATGAGGCGCTATGTCAGTAAAATAGACATGGTCTTTTCCCTTCGCAGAGCCTAGAGGATAATTTATTAATGATTAATCTTTTTTTTTTTTTTTGGAGACGGAGTCTCGCTCTGTCGCCCAGGCTGGAGTGCAGTGGCCGGATCTCAGCTCACTGCAAGCTCCGCCTCCCGGGTTTCCGCCATTCTCCTGCCTCAGCCTCCCGAGTAGCTGGGACTACAGGCGCCCGCCACCTCGCCCGGCTAGTTTTTTGTATTTTTTTTTTTTTAGTAGAGACGGGGTTTCACTGTGTTAGCCAGGATGGTCTCGATCTCCTGACCTCGTGATCCGCCCGTCTCGGCCTCCCAAAGTGCTGGGATTACAGGCTTGAGCCACCGCGCCCGGCCTATTAATGATTAATCTTAGAGGATAATGTATTAATCGAATTAACCATTGCTTTGGTTAATTTGTAGTTTGTGTTAGAACACAAAGAAAAAAGAACAGTTTAGAATGTTTATCAAGGATTGGCTTTGGATAGAGAGTTCAATACCTGCACTTTAAGCCAGAAAACTGCAGAATGGGGAGACCTTGCTGGTAACTACAATGGAGTCGTAGTAGGTAAGGATGGAGAGGATATGGGTGAAAATCATATGCCAGGCACTGAGCGTGAACACGTGCAGGATTAATTTCCATGCAGTCTGATGAAGTAGATATTCTTCCTATCTACATTCAATACTCAGGGAATTTGAGGTGGAGGCACAAATAAACAAATTGCCCAAAGTCCCACAACTAGTAAGTGCATATTTTAATATTTCTCATTGCATACAAAATTAGACAATTTTGTATGCAATGAGAAAGATTTTTAGAAACAAAGGATTAAAACTACTAGGGCTTTAATACATACAAATAGATATTAGTAAAAATGCAGAGATGCCCAAGACAGGCATTATAATGAGACTCAACAATGGTGACTCCCTCACTCTTCTCTGTATACATTTATTGCTATCACAAACCTCTCCAATATTTTCCTGCTCATGTTCCTTCTAGAAAGAAGTCTTGGCCGGGCTCAGTGGCTCATGCCTGTAATCCCAGTACTTTGGGAGGCTGAGGCAGGTGGATCACCTGAGGTCCAGCGTTAGAGACCAGGCTGGCCAACATGGTGAGATGCCGTCTCTATTAAAAATACAAAAAATTAGCCGGGCATGGTGGTGCACACCTGTAATCCCAGCTACTTGGGAGGCTGAGGCAGGAGGATTGCTTGAACTTGGGAGGCGGAGGTTGCATGGAGCCAAGATTGCGCCACTGCACTCTAGCCTGGGAAACAGAGTAAGACTTCGTCTCAAAAAGAAAAAAAAAGAAAGAAGTCTTCAGAATATAATAATGATTAGACATGAATCTGCAAGATTAAAGTATCTATCAGTAACAATTTCCTGTTTGTTTTGTTTTGCTTTTTTTCCCCCCTCTTTCGGCCAGGTACAAGTGGCTCACGCCTGTAATCCCAGCACTTTGGGTGAATCACCTGAGGTCAGGAGTTCGAGACCAGGCTGACCAACGTGGTGAAACCCCATCTCTACTAAAAGTACAAAATTTAGCTGGGCATGGTGGTGGGCGCCTGTAGACCCAGCTACTCAGGAGGCTGAGGTGGGAGAATCGCTTGAACCAGGAGGCAGAGTTTGCAGTGAGCCGGGATCGCACCACCACTCTCCAGCCTGAGAGACAGAGCGAGACTCCATCTCAAAAAAAAAAAAAAAAAAAAACTTAGCAGGAAGCAAATGAAAGGTCAAAGCAGGCTTGCAGTCAGTGGGCACTCAACTAAGGGAAGCTTATAAAATGAAAACACACAAAAAAATCCAAAAAGGCTTTGCCTCCTTCCTTTCATAATAAAATGCTGACACACCTTAATTATAGTGTTGTAAACAGTGCTGTTGGACCACCGCTTCACCATATGGGACTGAAAACTGTAAATATGTTAGATATTGGTTCTTAGGAAAGGAAAATATAGAATATATCCTTTGTACGAGTCATATTTTTATGAGGCTGCTGAAGAGTAGCTGAGTGTTGAATCAAATCACGAATTCTCAAGGCCACCATAATCAGAGTAGGCAAAGTATATATTTGCTCAGGGAAACATCTGTTAAGAAATTTCTCCTGAGTCTCATCAGTAGTTGGCAAGCTTTACTGCTTTAGCTATATTTTCATTATTGGCCTGTCTGCAGAATAGTTTCCACTGGTTGTCCTTCAATCATTAATTCACCAGTAAAGAAATAATCTTTTTAATGGCCCGCCTTTGTTGATAATGCTCACAACAAAATTTAAATTTTAAATAGTCACTCAGTGATTTGTATTTTATTCCATTGTGCTCTTAAATTTTATGTACATGCACAGAGCTCTGAAAAAGGATAAAAACAATAAGTTATGAACTGAGTGTGAATCAACCATGGTGGTTACAGTTCAGTTGCTTTTGGAGTATTGCAGAAGTTGTGTCTTTAGCTAATAATGCTTGGTTCATAGGAGTCACACCGTTACTTCTAATACTTCTCAGTGACATTATTGAAATCAGCTACATAAAATATACATGGACTTTTTTTTAGTTCAAGTAGAAGTACCTTCCAACAAAATATGCTTTCATCAAACTATCAAATTCATAATAGGAAACAAAGCATTTTCTGGAAAAAGAAAAAGAAAAGACAACCAGAAAATCATCTTTTTTGATACAGTTATCTCATAGGCATATGTTACCAGTGGCATGAATAAAATACTACATAAACTTTTTGGACATAATTAACATTAAAACATACTGGCCAGCATCATATTATTTTCTCTCTAGATTTCCATTTAGTGCTTTCCATGTGTCAGAGAGTCAATGTAAAGCTATCTTGATAAACCCATTAACGAATTGTTGCATAATGTTTTATAGTTGCTTTGCAAGTGAATTATTTTTGCTGTGGTACTGCTAATACAGCAATCTCTATGCCCTCTATGATTATTAATATGGAATAATAAAAAACTGTAACTTTGTCCAACATTTTCTCTGGTCAAAATATTAATATAACTTGGCTAAAAAGAAGCATGGAGAAAAACACAAGCACTATTTTGTGGTGTGTGAGATCGACCTGCAGTTGTTAACGCTGTTATTAAGTTTCAGTAATTGTTTAGGTCATCAATCTCTGACAAGAACCTTTCAGAGTGCTTGATGATATCGCAAGTATCAAGCTGTGCTGCATTAAAAAATGATGAATCTCTGTTCAGGTAAAGCTTTGCCCTTTGGCTATCATAATGTATCACCACTTTGTTTACAAATGGGTATTCACTACGCTAAATGGCAACAGGGTGCATGCGATTTTATAAATATGAAATGTTGGCACTAGCTAATATCTGAACTCGTAGTTGAAAGTGCAGCTGGAAGTCTAGGGAAAATAATCATAGTTACTTACAAGATAAATAATTTTGTAAATTAAAATCATTGTGTTTCAACTATTTAAATGATTACAAGTTATTTTTTTAAATAACATGTTTTAATAGAATAACTCAATTTTAACCCTTGGTTTTCTCTAAAACAAGTCTTATAATTTTTACCTAAACATAAATTTAGAAGCATTATACATAAATTTGATAATTTATCAATTTCAAAGGAATCTCTAATCGTTGCTATTAGATTCATTAAGCCATCAGCCACATTTTGTCCAGGTTATTATTGTTTTAGACAAGTCTTATTTTTGGTAGGAAAATTATTTTCTGAACGCAACAAAATAGAAATGACTTCATCTCTTAGTTTACTGATTGGTTTAAATGAGCTAAGTGTTACTCCTATGTATCCTTGCTTATTAATCAAAGGCGGCGTTTTACAGACATGTAGGAGGGAAACCATGTAGTGTTTACTGTAACAACTCCTTTTTTTTTTTTTTTTTTGAGACAGTGTTCACTCTGTCACCCTGCTGGAATGCAGTGCTGTGACCACTGCTCACTACAGCTTTGATGTCCCAGGCTCAAGTGATCCTTCCACTTCAGCCTCCCAACTAGCTGGGACTACAGGTGCACACCACCATGCCAGGCTAATGTTTCGTATTTTTTATAAAGACGGGGTTTCACTCTGTTTCCCGGGCTGGTCTCAAATTCCTGGGCTCAAAGTGAGCCACCTGCCTCAGCCTCCCAAAGTGCTGGTATTACAGGTATGAGCCACTGTGCCTAGCCTAAAGCTATAAAATATTACAGAAAGAATTGTAGTACCTTGGCTACTCTTCCCTGGTTACCTCCCTTCCCTCCATTCATATCCTGATATATTTATATCATTAGAGTGTTTATTAATTTCACATATGCATTTATACTGTTACTCTATAATTGATCCAAAAATATAATGTAACATTTTTGTCTATTTTCAGTGTTTATAAAAATAAAATGAGAGTATGCATATTATTTAATTTATGTTTATTTGTTCAGTATTCTATGTTTGAGTTTTCACCATGTTAATGCGTAGATCTCTGATTCATTCCTTTTAAGTGCTGTATACTATGCTATTGATGGAATATACCACAGTTCATTTTCCATTCTTTTTTATTTTTGATGAGCTGTTAGGCCTGTGTCCAATGTTTCACTATTATAAACATGATATGTTAATATCCCTCCATCTGTCTGCTTATGCATGTGTGCTCCGTTTCTCTAGAAGAGTATGCACCTGGAAATTTAAATGTTGTGCGTATCTACAGTTTCACTGGGACATTGCCCTATTGCCCTCCAGGGTATTTTAAATAAATTTATCTTTTCATCAATGTGTGTAAGTTTTCTATTTTTCCACAACCTTGTCAATGATATTATAAAATATTTTTAAGTTTTATTAATCTGATGGATATGTTTTTCACTATTGCTTTCTTTTTCATTTCCCTACTTAGAAATGAAATTGACTATCTTTTCATACACTTATTGAACACTTGGTTTCATCACTGAATTATTTATATCCTTTTAAAATTTTTTCTGCCTATTTTCTTATTAATTAGTAGGAATTCTTTATATATTATTGTATCTAATTCTTTTGTTAGTTACATGAATTGCCAATAACTTCTCCAATTGGTGGCTAGTCTTTTTACTTGTGAATGGTATCAACTTGAAGAGTTAAAAATTTCATGTATTTAAATTCATCAACCTTCTCTTCAATGTTTTGAGCTTTTTGGATCCTATTTAAGAAATCTTTCTCAACCTTGCAGTCATAAAGATATTCCACTATATTTTCTTTTCAAGGCTTTGTAGATTAGGTGTTGAATTCACTTAGAATTGATTGTAGATCCATTCTATTTGTAGTTTCTATTTATATTTTATCATGTACAAAATCTTAATTTTATTTTCATTACGTACTTTTACTATATTCTCCTGATAACATTTATTGGAAAAGCTAGTCTTCACTTATTTTTCATGCCTCCTCTGTCCTACATCAAGTTTCCTCCTGCATTCCATTTAATTGGTCTAATTTATCTTTGTCTACTAAGGCTTGATATCTGTTAGGACAAAACCCATAGAATGATGGCAAACTCATGTGGTACCATCGTTCCAAATGAGAAAAAGATTTTCTTTCCTCAAGATGGCCTCCCATTGTGGTCTTTCTTATGTTTTTTTAACCTTATTTTTCCCTCATTGCTCTCCCATGTAAATTTTGGGATAAGATTGTCAAGTTCTATGAAAACCTTCATTAGAATTTTGCTTGAAATCGGATTGAAATTATGAATTAATTTGGAAAGAATTATATTTTCATAATATTATAACTTTTCATCCATGAGCAAGATTTATTTCTATCTATTCATGTCCTTAATTACCTCATAACTCAACAAGTTATGATGACAATTCCTGTTAAATTTATTTCTAGTTATTAGAGTTGCTTGGATATTTTGTTTGGCTTTGATATTTGGCCAAACCAGCTATTCAGGGTGGCTTCAACCTTGGTTTTTAGAAGACAAAATACCTTAAAGCCACCTTCGATATAATTTCTTCCTTACTTGAACTTGAGTACGATCAATAATTCTGTGATCTCAAAGGTTTCTTTCATATATAAATAAAGTTACACATCAGTAGTACAAAGAAGACATGTTATGTATTTATTGTGAATATCTGAATATTCATTTTCAAGTATATGTAAACATTCTAGATGTTACTCAGAGTAAAAATTCTCATGTTCTTTTTGTGGTAAAATGCTGTGTTATTTTGAAGTAAAATGTTTTTAAATTATTGCAAGAGTACAATGCTATAGCAATTAATAATGACTGTAAAATGTTAGTGTCATGAATAAGCTATTATAAACTTTCAAATAGATACGTAGAAAAATATATTTGAAAATTAAATTAGAATTTGAAAATAAAGTTAGAATATTAACAGAAAGCATGTTAGCTATTAAATAATTAATATCAATACTTTTGAACAAACAAATGTTCACACAATTTAAATACTATAAGACAGAATGCTAGAGATTAAATAATAATTTTAATCTTTGTGCAATTGTTTAGTGCATAGTATTTAAAAAATTGAAGGAA